TTCTGTACGAAACATAGTGTTTTCTATATGGGAAGCAGTATTTCATATATGGAATGTAGTGTTTTTTATATGGGAGGTGGTGTTTTTATAGGGAAAATAGTGTTTTCTGTATGTACAGCAAGAAACTTAAAAAGAAAACACACAAAAGATTATCCCAAAAGTAAATGAATAACGATACTTCAGGAAATGTTTATCGAATTGAATGTACAGATTACAAATATTGTTATTTTGGTGAGACAAACAGACACTTTTCTAATTGTTCACGTGACCATTTAGAATTTCCATCTCGTGCTTTTGAACACGTGTCTAGGAATAATCATTTATTTGGCCCGGTTTATTTATTTTTTATATACCTATCTATACATACACATACATACATATATATATATATATATTAGTGACAAGTTTATTTTCTTCTTTGGTTTCAAAGTTATGCATAAACCTACAAAACGGTTCTCTTCGCATAGCCGTCCCTAAGTTTGAACTGATGGATTGAATAAAAGGCAGCATCCACTGTCAACTCTTTGGATACACTTGTCCGACCAAAGAGGGCCCGGCATGACCAAGTGGTTAGGGCTCTTGACTCGTAATCTGATGGTCGCGGGTTCGAATCCCCGTCCCACCAAACATACTCGCCCTTTCAGCCGTGGGGGCGTAATAAAATGACGGTCAATCTCACTATTCGTTGGTAAAAGAGTGGCCCAAGAGTTGGCGGTGGTGACTAGCTGCCTTCCCTCTAGTCTTTCACCGCTAAATTAGCGCAGATAACCCTCGTGTGGCTTTGTGGGAAATTAAAAACAAACCAATCATTCTTTTCATTTTTCTGAGGTAAATAATCCTCAGCAGAGAGGACAACATTAATAGACTAAAAATATATGAAGCCCTATTAATAAACAAACATAACCCTATTCTTAGCAAATACAAAGGTGTTCATTTATACCTATTTTAATGGTTCCCTTCTCTCTTGTATATAGAACGAAGTTTATTCATTATATCTAAATTTAACAGTTCGTTCATAAATGATTTTATTGTTTACAGATGGCTAGTCGTTGATGACTATTGTTTACAGATGGCTAGTCATTGATGACTTTATTGTTTACAAATGGCCAGTAGATCACTATTGTTACAGATTCTCACGTGATTCTTTTTTTTAATTAAATTCCGTTAGCTTTAGTTCTTGTATGCTACCTGATGGTGCCAAGTAAACCTGGTGAAACGTTGTTAATCAAGTGAAAAAAAAACAAAAACTT